TGGGGACAGTGGGATATTGGGGACACTGGGGACATCGGGGACAATGGGAATACTGAGGGGACATTAAGGTGACACTGAGAGGACATAGAGGGGACACTGAGGGGACATCAGGGACATTGGGGACACCCAGGGAACACTGAGGGAACACTGAGGGGACACCCAGGGGACACTGAGGGAACACTGAGGGGACACCCAGGGGACACTGAGGGGACATTGAGAGGACATTGAGGGGACACTGAGGGGATATTGAGGGGACACCCAGGAAAACATCAGGGACATCGGAGACATTGAGGTGACACCAAGGTGACCCAGGTGACACAGGTGACACTGAGGTGACCCTGACGTGACCCAGGTGACCCTGACGTGACCCAGATGACCCTGATGTGACACAGGTGACACTGATGTGACCCTGATGTGACACTGATGTGACACTGAGGTGACCCTGATGTGACACTGAAGTGACCCTGATGTGACACTGATGTGGCCCTGATGTGACACTGAGGGGACCCTGAGGTGACACAGGTGACCCTGACGTGACCCAGGTGACCCTGATGTGACACTGAGGTGACACTGATGTGACACTGAGGTGACACTGATGTGACACCCAGAGAACATCAGGGCTATCAGGGACACCGAGGTGACACAGGTGACACAGGTGACCCCGAAGTGACCCCGAGGTGACCCTGATGTGACACTGATGTGACCCAGGTGACCCTGATGTGACCCTGATGTGACACTGATGTGACACAGGTGACCCTGATGTGACACTGAGGTGACCCTGATGAGACACAGGTGACCCTGATGTGACACAGGTGACACTGATGTGACACTGATGTGACCCTGATGTGACACTGAGGTGACCCTGATGTGACCCTGATGTGACACTCAGGTGACCCTGATGTGACACTGATGTGACACTCAGGTGACACTCAGGTGACACAGATGTGACCCTGAGGTGACACTGACGTGACACAGATGTGACACTGATGTGACACTGATGTGACCCTGATGTGACACTGATGTGACACTGACGTGACACTGATGTGACCTTGACGTGACACAGGTGACCCTGAGGTGACACTGACGTGACACTGATGTGACCCTGATGTGACACTGACGTGACACTGATGTGACCCTGATGTGACACTGATGTGACCCTGATGTGACCCATGTGACACAGGTGACCCTGATGTGACACAGAGGTGACACTGACGTGACCCTGACGTGACACTGACGTGACCCTGATGTGACACTGATGTGACACTGATGTGACACTGACGTGACACTGATGTGACCTTGACGTGACACAGGTGACCCTGATGTGACCCAGGTGACACTGAAGTGACTCTGATGTGACACAGGTGACCCTGACGTGACACAGGTGACCCTGACATGACCCAGGTGACCCTGATGTGACACTGATGTGACACAGGTGACCCTGACGTGACACAGGTGACCCTGATGTGACACTGAGGTGACACTGATGTGACACTGAGGTGACCCTGAGGTGACACTGATGTGACCATGACGTGACCCAGGTGACCCTGATGTGACACTGAGGTGACCCTGAGGTGACCCTGATGTGACACTGAGGTGACCCTGATGTGACACTGACGTGACCCAGGTGACCCTGACGTGACCCAGGTGACCCTGAGGTGACACTGATGTGACCCTGAGGTGAGCCTGATGTGACACTGATGTGACCCTGACGTGACACAGGTGACCCTGATGTGACACTGAAGTGACTCTGATGTGACCCTGAGGTGACCCTGATGTGACACTGAGGTGACCCTGACGTGACACAGGTGACCCCGAAGTGACCCCGAGGTGACCCTGATGTGACCCTGACGTGACACAGGTGACCCTGATGTGACACTGATGTGACACTGACGTGACCCAGGTGACCCTGATGTGACCCTGATGTGACACTGATGTGACACTGATGTGACACTGATGTGACACTGACGTGACACAGATGTGACCCTGACGTGACACTGATGTGACACAGGTCACCCTGACGTGACACAGGTGACCCTGACGTGACACTGATGTGACACAGGTGACCCTGACGTGACCCAGGTGACACTGAAGTGACACTGATGTGACCCTGATGTGACCCTGAGGTGACCCTGATGTGACCCTGATGTGACACAGATGTGACACAGTGCCACCACTCACCGGATGATGCCGAAGTCATCGAAGTACCCCCCGCGGCCGTCGGTGCC